TTTGTAGAGGGGAGGCTTTTTTATGCGTGTGTGGGTGTGTATAGAGGGGAGGTTTGTGTGTTTGTACGTGTGTGTGTATAGAGAGTGCGTTGCTGTTGATGTTGTGTATTGCGTGTCGGAGTGTATATCTGTATATGTTTGAGTCTGTTTGTCTTTATGTTTATCTACAAAGCCCGTTTTGCATGTATCAGTGTGTGCATGGGAATATGAAACACAACACACACACACACACACACACACACACACACACACACACACACACACACACACACACACACACACACACACACACACCTATATATATATATATATATATATATATATATATATATATATATATATATATATATATATATACATACACGCACACACACGTCTGTACACACGTACACACATATACGCTTAATGAACGTACATCTATATATATTTTCCTCCATAATCCTCCATTCACGCGACCGCTGAAAGGGGTTTAAAAATGGGACTCGAAAGTGAGTCTCACGCGAGAACAGCTGTGACCAACTGTTTAAAATTAGGTGAAATATGCCTCCATTTTGATCAATTTACGAGAGTCGTAAGGGTCTCTTGGTCTTAGCCGAGCCAAGGGGGGTATTCTAAGACCGGTAATAATTTCCATCCAAGAGGTAACAAAAACGGTAAGGTATTTAATGCCATATATGATTTACGGGCGAGAGAGTTCACATTGGGAAGAAATTCTGGAAGTTTTATTTTTTAGGTTTTATTTTTAGGGTGATATTTTCGTTTTAATGCGTTTGGTGAAAGCGAGCGAGAAGTGTGATAGATTTGTTTGTTTGTTTGTTTGTAAGTGTGTTGTTTATTTGTTTGTGTTTTTGTTTGTTTTTGTTTGTTTAGTCACGGCAGATTTGCGTTTATATTTTTTGATTGCTGTTTCGTTATTCTCCTCTCTTCTCTCTCTCTCTTCTCTCTCTCTCTCTCTCTCTCTCTCTCTCTCTCTCTCTCTCTCTCTCTCTCTCTCTCTCTCTCTCTCTCTCTCTCTCTCTCTCTCTCTCTCTCTCTCTTTTGCTATTTCAAACCTTCTGCAAGCGATTGTATTAAAAACTGATGATTATTATTACTTCATTGTTGTCATACCATCTTTAGAATTTGTGCCTAAAAGGTTAACTTCACAGTGTTATAATCTTTAATATTAATGTAAGACAATCAGAAACAGTTACCTTCACAGTAAGAAACGGACAGGTAGACGTTATCCTCACAGTACGGAAGAATAAAATGTTAGTTTTCTTGAAATTACCTAAAAAGTTGTAGGAATTTTAGATAGATATTGATGTTTTCTTCTTATCGCGTTGGTCCGAAGAGTTAGAAATATCTGAGCAAAAGCGAGTTTTAGAGATAGTGATAAGAAAGCAGGAATTTACCTTCACCGTGGAAAACCGCCATGCAGTCGTAGTATCACAGACGTACACACTCACACACACACACACACACACACACACACACACACACACACACACACACACACACACACACACACACACACACACACACACACACACACCACACACACACACACACACACACTCACACGCACACTCACACGCACACTCACTCACACACTCACACGCACGCACGCACGCACACACACACACACACACACACACACACACACACACACACACACACACACACACACACACACACACACACACACAACACACACACACGCTCACACAATAATTTGTTAAATAAGTAACAACCAAGCACAGGTTATCCTCACACACCAAAAAAAACATTATCCTCACAGTCGTTTCTCTATGTAAACCAAACCGTCCTATTAAATCCATAACAGAAGGACATTTTCCCTTATCTTTACGGTCAGGTTTACGCTCGTTAACCTAATTAGTTTTGACTTTAGGTTTAGTCACAGATTCCACTGAAGAAATGGGGTTTCAAGCGAGGTTTTAGGTTAGGGAGCTCGAATATAAAGGTTTTGAATGTAAATGAGAAGGATAATGTGATAATGGTGATGTACGGGAAATGGCGATAAATGATAATAAAGGAGAAAGCGATATGGTGGTGTAGCGGGAATGACGCNGCGTAATTAACAGGTAAGTCCTCGAGGGAAAGCACAGGTTGACATCGACGGCAGGTGGGACAATGGAACTGGCCTGGGGGGGGAAATTGGGCGTTAGAGTCCAATGGGTGATTTGGTTGATGTTTTTTGCTTGTCTGTTTGTTTTCTTTGTTTGTTGTGTTGTTTTTGTTGCTTTTATGCTTTTGTTGTTTTTTTATGTTTCTGCTTGTTTATTTTGCTGTTGTGTTTGGTTGTTTTTAATGCTTTTTTTTTTTTAATGCTTTTGTTGTTTTTGTAGCTTTGTTATTGTTTTTGGTACTTTGTTGTTTTTTCGTGTCGTTGTTTGTTATTGCTTTTGCTGTTTTTTAATATTGTAGTTTTTTGCTTTTGTTGTTTCGATTTTTTTCTTTGTTTTTTTTCGTTTCTTGTTATTGTTTTGGCACGTAGGGTTAGTATTTTTGTTCTGTTATATTTTATTTGCCTGTATTACGATATACATTTTTTTCTTAAAGTAGTTAGCATTTTTTTCTTGTTAGTTATTGTTCGCACTGTTGCTGTCATAATCTTATCATTAACAAGATAACACTGGTAATCATAATGATAATTGAGATGATAAAGACTAGGACAACTAAATTGAAGATAATTAATAATGGGAAAATAAGGAAATAGGAATGACAAACACAGGTAAAGTAACATTTAAAAGGTAACAATTATGGCAAAAAAAAAAAGAAAAGAAAATAATGACAGCAACAATAACTAAAAAATACATGATGATAGAATTATCATAATGATAATAAAGAGAATTAGATATCATTATCAATATCATCATGGTTATCGTGATGATCATTATCATCATTTCTAATATTACTATCATCATTATTACTCTCATTATTAACATCATTATCATCATTACCATTATCTTTGTTATTCTTATTACTTCTATCATTATTAGCATTAATATTACTATCACCATCATCATCATCTTCGTTACCATCATCATTATTGCAACACATTATTCTATCAGTTTCTTGTCTACGAACAGTTTTTCATTATCTTCGCTGTCATTATCGTAATAACTGATATATCGTTATCTACGCAATTGCTTCCAGAACCATTGACTGATTGGGCATTCAAGTGATTTTTCTAGAATGTTATCAGTATGAGCAATGGTTGTCAATTATTAATTATTTTGATGCTTTCATGATAATGTGGCAACATTTACTCCACTCAGGAATATATTGATAGCTAGTATAAATATCGCTTAATAAACATCAATCATTATAACATCTACTTATCCAAAAGCAGGAAAAGAAAGAAAGAAAGAAAAAACATAATTTTCATCATACGTATAATTATCCAAACCTTGTATATCACCATCAATATATTTCCACCATCACTATTACATCATCAATAACCACCTGTCTCGACTAAAAAAAAAAAAAAAAAAATCATACCTCCGATTCCTTCCAATATATCTCTCCCTACTTATCTCTGGGCACGATAAATGCCCTTCAACTGTTTGCAGCGTGCAATATCCAGGCGATTCTAATCCAACGGTTGTCAGGATGTGGCATCGATAACAAAGGAATAGCCCTGTGATTATTTACATCTTAAAAGCTATGTCGATGGTCGTTTCGTGTGTGAATGTTTTGGTCGTATATCGTTTGGTGGTTTGGTGGTTACCTCGGGATGTTTTGAGTGCCTTGGAGACAGTAGGGGGGGTTGGGGGTTGGGGGGTTGGTTATGTTGGGATTTGGGTGTTGTGTGTTGTTGGATGCGTGTGGTAAGTACACGTGGGTATCTGTACTTTCTCTCAGGTCTCGTACGCGTAAATATAAATATGCATACATACACACTCTCTATCTCGCACGCACGCACGCACGCACGCACGCACTCACACACGCTCACACTCCCACTGTCTCTCTCTCACACACACACACACACACACTCTCTCTCTCACACACACACACACACACACACACTCTCTCTCTCTCTCTCTCTCTCTCTCTCACGCACACACAAGCAAACAAACACACACAGCCGTCCACAACACCACACACTCGCCCAGAAATCCCCCTCCACCCTTCCCTTCACCCTCACCCACTCCCCACCCTCCCCTCCCCTCCCTCCCCCCACCACCCCAACCCTCCCCTCCCCTCCCCCTTCTCCTCCACTTACCCTTATTCTCGCTCGCAATAATTCCGTGCACACATTGCTTGCAGAAAGTGTGTCCACAACTCGGCAGCATCAAGGGCTTTCTCTCGCCCTCGCCAAAAGAGTCGAAACAAACGGTGCATGTTAACGCACTGTCGAGGTGGCTTGTGCTTGCCGCGGACTGAGGACATGGCGGCGGCAGAGCTTTTTGGATTTGGGTTTTGTTTTTTTCTGAAGGGCAGGGAAGAGTTTCTTTTTCATTTCATATTGTTTTAGGGGTTGGGTTTTATTGTTGTTGTTGTTATTGTTGTTGTTTTGTTTTGTTTGTCTGTTGTTGGTTTTTGTATAGGTTTATTCTTGGTAGGA